GGTCCCGATTGCCGGGCGAGCCCCGAAGCGGGGACATTCAGCGCGCTGTAGATCAACCAGCAGCAATTGCCACCCGCGAACGCAACTCCGGGTTTTGTACACAATAAACCCTCCTCCGGGTTGATTTCAAGGTTACGCCCTTCTTATTGTGTTCGTCCTTCGGGATTTTAACGGGCGTAATTAGACGGTGACACCACTGAAGTCACCGTTAAAACAGAGGGGAGCCAGGTAAGCCAATGTCGCATATATTATACTGAAGATTGTCGATCTGTGTTGTGGAAAACTGAACTGTGTTGCTGAGATGGATGAAGCGTTGAACGAAAATGTTCCTAAAACTATCGAATCGGGCTTGGAACCTCGGCTGGACAGGCATCCGATATCAACGTTCAAGTTGATGTCAGCGGATGTACTTGAAATGGCCTTTTAATTGTTTTTACCCTGCATCGGCAAAACTGCTAAAACAGAGGTCATTCCAGATCTATAAACCGTCTGCTACTATTTATCATGTACTCCTTGGGCAGATTAAAACCCTGACGCTACTGGCAGATTACATAATTGTCCGTGGAGTTGCTAGACTGGAATTAGTGAGATATACACGGTTGCTTATAGAAAAGGGTGAATGTGTATCACACAAACGCGCCTAAGACGGCCTAAAGTAATTTCTCGTGGAAACACGATATTTCGTCCACAACTGTTGCGAGGCGAGCTATGATTCGCTCTAGTCAGTGATCTTATTTTTCTTGAGTAACTCGCTTCTTTTAATCACAACTAGACTATGATGAAAAATCCCAAAGAATTAAGCATAAACACTACTAACCTTGAGGGGTTTACTAGATAAGGTTAATTTCTTAAAAATGTGGTGCAGTGAACACACCACTAACTTCACACGAGGTGCACTCGTTCACGCTTATCGTGACTAGCTTAGGTCGAGGTGCATTTTGAGGACTTGCTGTTTCCGGCCTCTGGAACAGCCAATCACAGGCGGACTCACCCAGGACCTAATGTGACGACTGCCGATCAAAGATCACTTCAGATGCTGCTCGCTGGCTTGCGGTTCTGCAGTCGTCTGACAATCACTTTCCTACTTCCTAGTACAGTAGTCGTCGGTTATTAAGCCCACCTCGGGCCCAGACCAAATT